AGATTTTGGATACTAGCCCTTTATCTGATGAAAAATGAGTAAGTTTCTGATACTCTCTTTACACGGCCAATGGATTTGTGCATCAGTTATGTTCCTGTTTCATGCCCTGTGCGTCTATGTGTTGTATTGGCCAGTCTGAGCACACCTCGGGGATCATGCAGGATGGTACTACCAGGTTCACCTGCAGAGGAAAGCCCATCTACCATTTCATTGGCACCAGCACCTTCTCCCAGTACACGGTGGTGGATGAGATTGCAGTGGCCAAGATCGATGCAGCTTCACCATTGGAGAAAGTCTGTCTCATTGGCTGTGGATTTTCTACTGGTTATGGGTCCGCAGTCAACATTGCCAAGGTAGGAATGACAAAGGATGGTAAAACAGGTTGTACTCAGACTATCAGGAACTAAAAGGAGAGCAATTTCTCACAGTAATCAGAGATCATTTTTCATAGATTTATTGGTAGCTTTCCGCCCTGTTACCACAATAACACTGATATACTCTACAAAATTTAGGATATCGGTTATGAGTGGGGAAAATGGCTTCAGAAGGAATTGAGGAGCATTTCCTAGAAAATTTATGTTTATCACAGATGAAAAAGCTATTGATGCTTAGTTGAGAAAAAGATATAATTTTCAACAATTATTCTTTATATTTGTTCTTTATGTGATTACCAAATTTTAGACCTGGGAGCTCATTTAGTAATTTATTGTACTGTAAGCACCAACATGCATCAGGTATAGTAGGTTCTGCTAGCTTTTGAGGCAGCAGAAGTAAATGAAACGAAGGGGTCACCTCTGAGGAGCATCTAGTCCATGGATGCTCTACTCCCAGAATTAGGATCAACAGTAGATTCCAAAGCCTTATCTGGTACACCTCCAAACCAAGAGTCACCAACCCACCCACTCTGTGGATCCCTATAAGGGAGGTAATGAAGCTTCAATAATGCATTTTGCATTTATTCCAGTCATTAGGGGATTTCACTGTTTACATCTCACCTCCTGCCATGAACACACACATATGCACACACACACATACACACAGAGGTCAGAGGTGGTAGATTTTAAAGAGAAATTCTTTAAAGGCCCCTCTTCCCAAAAGGTTGGAAATGTAGCAGTATTCCTTCATTTTATGAAATGAAGGCCCAAAGACATAAAGCTATTTGCCCAAAATCTCACAGCTGGTTAGTGTGAGAGCTGCAACTAGCCTTTCTCTCCAAACTCCAGCTGAATCTTAAACCATGATACATAATTACCTTTACCTTTAAATCACAAGTCTCAAATTTTTCTAAACAAGGTAATTGTATCCCACAGAATGATTACTTGGGACAGGAGAAATATTTTACCCATGCTGAAGGCTGACTATAGCAGTTCAGGTTTACTAACAGTCCCTAGCCAATTTAAATAATCGAGAGCACTTGTTTTCCAAATTTCTGTGGCTCTAGCGCTTAGTCCCTTGTGCAATTACATCATCTGTTTGAGCAGGTGGTCTAACTGAGCCTACACAGAGCAGAAGCTGAGGGCACTTGTAATAATTAATCTCAGCCATAAATAAAATACAGACCAACTTTTCAGTGCATATTGTTTATTAGTATATTCTTAAAAGCAGGGGTAACGACCCACAAGATCACAGCAGTCTCAAGCTGTATTATCTTAGTTATCTGTTAAATTTCCCCTGTTCTTAGGCTTTCCTCTAAGCTAAGGATAACTTTTCTATGTTTCACAGCTAATTTCTGCTCTTGTGATACTGGTCATGATACTGAAAGTTAATGAACCAAGGAGCTAATTATTAAGAATTTGATTGGATTATTTTTCAGTATCCCAGAATAATATTTTCCACTTATTATTTCATTTCCCAAAACTTGCATTTCTGTGTGTGATATAATAAAGCTGGGTGTCAATGGATTTGAGCTATTTGAGTCTCTTCAAGATGGTAGTCACTGGCATTTAGAGCTTAAAGAGCTTAAAATCCAATCCACTGGCTCCAACCCTGGGCGTTCCATTGGAGTCACCTGGGAACTGGGTCCCACCTACAGAGATTCTGACGGAATTGGTTACGAACTGTGACCTGGGCATTGAGATGTTTTAAAGCTCCCCAGGTGAGTCTAATGTCCAGCAGAGTTTGGGAACCACTCATCTAGTTCAACCCCCCTAATTTAAACACGAAGCAACTAAAGCCAAAAGCGATTTGGCAGAAGGTTGGACCTAAGAGTTTGAATAGCATCTCCATAACTGACAAGGCATGGCACTTTATGCAGCTTAGGTACTTTCTAGTAATGATTATTTAATCCATTTTTGCATTTTCTGTAAACACAGGTCACCCAGGGCTCCACCTGTGTGGTGTTTGGCCTTGGAGGGGTCGGCCTGTCTGTGATCATAGGCTGTAAAGCAGCGGGAGCAGCCAGGATCATTGGGGTGGACATCAACAAAGACAAATTTGCAAAGGCCAAAGAGGTGGGTGCCACTGAGTGCATCAGCCCTCAGGACTACAAGGAATCCATCCAGGATGTGCTGAAGGAAATGAGTGGTGGCGGTGTGGATTTTTCATTTGAAGTCATTGGGCGGCTTGACACCATGGTATGTAACAGGAAATGCCCTGAGATATCTGCTTCTACATTCCAGAGTGTACTTTTAGGCGTCAGAATATAAATAATATATATAAATAATATTTTAAAAACTATGAATGGTGATTTTCCATCTCCTGTCAGTTACCTGGGATATTCAGTTTATTACTATGAGAAATCTTTAATTCCATCAGCTACACAAATCTGTCTCAAGTAATAGTTCCCCTTAGAGAGGAAAGAGGGTCTTTTTTTAATTAAGCCATTATAAATTTACTTTCTTAACTTTTAGTAAAAAAATCCAAACTCAAGTAAATATAGATAATATAAATTCTGTTTTCAAATTGGCAAGTTTGATTCCCCCCATTCTTAACAAAAATGGTTTTAACATTTTAACATTTTTTTATATTTTAATAAGTTTTCATTTCTTTTCATATATCATACTATGGCCAGAGGGAATAATGGCCAATTTTAGACCAGTATTATTTATTAACAGAAAATATGGCATTTTACCATTTACCACACTGCCCCATTCTGCCACAGTAAACAGCACAGTGCCTGGCACATAGTAAGCACCCAATAACTATGTGTTGGGCTGAATACTTTAGAAAATCAACAAATTTTTCCACCAAAAAAATTTAAGAGATACATATCTCATAGCACTGTTTATAAATTACATGAGATAATGCATGTAAAATACTTAGCACAGTGCCACCTGTCAGATGGTAAGCTCAATAAATGTTAGCTAGTGCTATTGATATGCAATACTGTTTCTGACCTTACAGTGTTTACAACACCTTTGAAATATACAAAACATTACTTTCAAATAATTGTAAATGTCATCACTTGCAATGAGGAACACATCTCCAGTTATATTCCACCTAACCAGAATTCTCTAGAATCCTACTGAGACAGTCCCCAGAAACCAACAAATCCCCCTTTTGAGGTTCTCCAGTAAATCCCAGCAGTGTTGGTTATAGGGAGCACCACCCTAAGAATAAAGCTCTTTGTAGCCTTGACTTGGGACAATATGCCAACTTCAGATGACTGAAGTTCCAAGAGAAGCCAACTTTATTCAAGGTGGTAGCATTTCTCCTTATGCCCTTTTTCTGTTGTTTTCCCTCTATTTTCTTCTGTGAAATTGGATTGTTACTTCACTTAAAGATACCAAATATCCAACGGCCTCATGTTCTGAGGTTACCTGGTCTTCTATACATCATACTCCAAAATCAAAGGATTAATCCTTATATATTGCTGCATGGGGGAGGTCCTCAACAATTCTCTTACTCTGGAACATGTTTAAAAACTTGACTGGAGGGGGAAGGCTTTCTTTTGAAATTCCAGGAGACCAGAAGTTCCAAGTGAATAAGAGACCAATTTTGGTAATGTAATTGACCTTATATCTTGTTTGCCATCAAAACACATGGTTCAAAGTCCTGAGTTCAAAATATCTACTTGATAAATAAATGAAAAATGACTTAATTCATAGACTGCCTGAGAGCAATGTGGTGACCAAACACTACTTTTACTTGAAGAATCAGACTTTATATAGATATGTTTGTAATGATGTTTGCCTCTACTATTTTATAAGGAAGAATTAAGCATACACAAATTTATCCACTGGTTTCATTAAAAAGAGATTTTCTGGGCATTTCTTAAAACCACAGCACTATTCTAGGCACAATGGGGAATAAAGAAACAAAAGATGTTATCTCTTCCCTGCACATACTCACAATCTAGCTAAATCAATATTGCATAATACCATGTATCATGAGTGGAGACTATCAGAAAATTCACTTTAATGATGCTAAATATTAATTTTATTCCAGGTGGCTGCCTTGTCCTGCTGTCAAGAGTCCCATGGTGTAAGCGTCATTGTAGGAGTACCACCTAATTCGCAAGATCACTCTATGAACCCCATGTTGCTATTGACCGGACGTACCTGGAAAGGAGCAATTTTTGGTGGTACATAGTTAGGCTTGATGGCTGAATTCTTATTAACCTCAGGAGTTCTTCCCTTTTACAAGTGACAAAACCAGGTTTTAAAAAGCAACATGGCTAAAAGTAAATTAAAATCCCTTTGTAGCTATAGGCTCTAAATCAACTAGATTCATGGATCTGATGCACACAGAAGGTCCCAAGACACACTTTTTGGTGTTCCCATTAACTAGAATCTTTCCGTACCCTTCTTTTATACCCATGATGGCACAAGGCACTCACAGGACCCAAGAAATCCATAGCAGTCATTCATGTGTGCTCTCATAGCCTAAATTAAGGCAATTGCTAAATTTGCTCCTTGACTTTGGGAATAAGCACCAATAGTATAATTTCTCTATGGGAGAGCTAATGATTAAGGACTCTAGTTTATCTAGATGGATTAAAAAAAAAAAAGTCTAACCATGGCAAAAGTATATTGAAACACTATCTCTTACTATCCTCAGTAACAGTAGTCTGTGGGACGTAGCACTTTCTATAAACTTTATCTTAATTCTGCTTGGAGGGGCGCCTGGGTGGCTCAGTCGGTTAAACGGCTGCCTTCGGCTCGGGTCATGATCCCAGGGTCCTGGGATCGAGCCCCACATCGGGCTCCCTGCTCAGCGGGGAGCCTGCTTCACCCTCTCCCTCTGTCTGCTGCTCCCCCTGCTTGTACTTGCTCTCTGCCTCTCTCTCTCTCTGTGTCAAATAAATAAATAAAATCTTAAAAAAAAAAAAAAACATTCTGCTTGGAAAGTCTCTTCTCCAATTCTCCTCTTACCCGTGGCTGAATCTTACAATGATGTCATTTTCTTTTCAGGCTTTAAGAGTAAAGATTCTGTCCCCAAACTTGTGGCTGATTTTATGGCTAAGAAGTTTCCACTGGATCCATTAATAACCCATGTTTTACCTTTTGAAAAAATAAATGAAGGATTTGACCTGCTTCGCTCTGGAAAGAGGTAGATATTAAATTTCTTTTTTATGGTGGGGATTGGTCAATAGAGAAAAAAGGTGAAAGAATGAAAAAAATACTGGAGTGCCTTGTTTCTCCATTGGTAGTTCAGTCTTTGGATACAGAACATTTAAGATGGTATTGTGAGAAACTAAAACAGTTGCTTTGTACTTCCCGTTCTACTGAAACCAAATGATTTTGGTTACAGGGAATCTGAATAATCAAAACCACTCAGCTTTATTTACAAGAGAATAGTCACCCTTGGAAGGAAAAAGAATCAGAGTCACACGGTCTTAGTTATAACCTAAGTCACTGCAGCCTCTGCCTGGCCACCTAAAAAGGTTGACCATTAATGGCTGTAAATTTATATTAAGGACCTACTTCATTATGGAAGGAGGTAGAGCTACCTTGAGATTTTTTTTTTCCTAGACAGATATCACTAATTTTTTCATTAAAAAACACCATTATTTTTTTTCAGTTTACAAAGAACTTTTCACAACTAAAAATTATAGGCATACCTTAGACATATTGTGGATTTGGTTCCAGACCACTGCAATAAAGCGAATATGCAGTAAAATGAGTCAAAGGAAGTTTTTGCTTTCCCAGTGCTTATAAAAGTTATTTTTACACTATGCTACAGTCTAGTAAGGTACAATAGCAGTATGTCTAAAAAACAATGTACATACCTTAATTAAAAAATATTGTGTTGCTAAAAAATGCTAACCATCATCTGACCTTCAGTGAGTTGTAATCTTTTTGCTGGTGGAGGGTCATGCTGGCTGCTGACTGATCAGCATGGGGGTTGCTGAAGTTTGGGGTGACTGTGGCAATTTATTAAAATAAGACAGCAATAAAGTTTGTTACATCGATTGGTTCTTCCTTTCACTAGAACACTTAGGAGACCACTGTAGTGTTATTAATTGGCCTAATTTCAGTATTGTTGTGTCTCAGGTGATAGGCCCAGGAAAGACAGGGATACAGGGGAATAGCCAGTGGCAGTCAGAATCCACACAGTATTTATGGATTAAGTTCATCATCTTCTATGGGCACATTCGTGATAGTCCCAAAACAATTACATAATAGCATGGAAAGATCACTGATCACAGGTTACCATAACAAATACAACAGGAATGAAAAAGTTTGAAATATTGTAAGAATTACTACAATGTGACCCAGAGACAGGAAGTGAGCAAATGCTGTTGGAAAAAAATAGTACCAGCAGACTTGCTCAACACAGGGTCGCCACAAACCTTCAATTCGTAAAATAACGCAGTATCTGCAAGGAGCAACGGAGTGAGGTGTGCCTGTGTTGTAAAGGGGAATGCTCTTTTAAATGCTGAGGTCTTATATTTTCTTCGAAGATTAGGAAAATAAGCCAATTCTATTTCTACCTCTAACATTTAACTGTAATGACCACCTAAAAAGAATTTTGTCATCTGCATTTACACATGAGGTGCATCTTGTAATAGGCAGTTGTAGCTAACTCCCACCTTCTAGGAGCATCACCCATACTTTTTCTGCTATCTCACACTTCTCATGAGGTTTTCAACTTTAAATAGAAGTTCTTAAGTGTGGGTGCTTATAATGTATATAATAATATAACATATTATACTGGGCTGTCTGACAAATCTTATCGAGAGCACCAGATTACATCCTTTCTGGAAAGCAATTTGGTTAATTTGCATCAGAAACCCTTAAAAAAAAAACCTAGGTCCCTTGTCCCAGCAATTCCATTTCTGGGAAGCTATTCTACAGAAATAATCAGAGAATCAAATACACATCTATTTAAGCATGCTCATCTATTGTCTATAGTATCAAAACTTGGAAACATACTAAAGTCCAACATTAAGGGAGTGGTTAAATAAATTCCAACCATGTACTAGAAATCAATGAAGCCATGTAAAAGAAGTTATTTCATTAAATTGGGAAATTCTTATATTGTAATTTTAGGTTACATAATTGAGAACACAAACTTATATATACAATGTGACCCCAAGTTTTCAATATGAGCAGTAAAAAATTGACATATGTCTAGAAAAAATATTGATCAAAATGCAAGAAAATATTAACACTATCTCTAGGTGTGGGATTACAGGTAATTTTTCCTTTTTTTTTTAAGATTTTGTTTTTATTTATTTGTCAGAGAGAGAGAGAGGGAGAGAACACAAGCAGGGGGAGTGGCAGGCAGGGGGAGAAGCAGGCTCCCTGCCAAGCAGGGAGCCCGATGCGGGACTCGATCCCAGGACCCTGGGATCCTGCCCTGAGCTGAAGGCAGACGCTTAACCAACTGAGCCACCCAGGCGTCCTGATTTTTACTTTCTTCTTCACACTATCTTTCAGTCTCTAAAATTACATATATTTTCCTTATTAAATATAAGTATATAAATATATATATATTTTTAAGGCACAAAGACCATCTTTTTCTAAAAGTTTATATCCATCAGAAGATAGTTTTTAGGAAGGACATTGGTTCCAGTGTAAATGTTAAATTTCTGATCTCCATAAGAGTGAAGTTTCTGAATACAAATCAACTTTATTATATATTTCTAAGAATCCTTCAACATTTCTTTATCAAAGCTCTATGAAGCCTTCAAGATGGTCTTTATTACATTATGGTTCCTTCCAGCAAGTTATCTATCATTTTGTAATTTGTGCAACTTTATATTGAGGTTTAAATTCCCACACCCCACACTAGATATGTGACCTAGAACAAGTTATAACCCCCTCTCTCAGTATTTTTAATCTCTAAAATGGAAACATTAGGACCTGCCTGATAGCATGGTTGTTTCAGTTGAGGTTTCAATGATAAAATGCACAAAAAGCATCTACAGATTATGTGACAAATAGCAAGCACTTATTACATGTCATTACCCATTGTTGTTTTGTATCATTATGCCAGATATGCATGCTCTCAAAAGTGACTTTTTGAGGATGTTCATATATAATGAAGCCTAAATGGCAGTCATATTCAGGATGTTATGATTGAGCTCAAGGCAGGAGAACACACAAGAAAGAACCAGCAAAAGGGGACCCACTGTACTACTTTACTTGACATGAATGCACAGGGATGCAAATGAAGTAGTGGAACCACAGATAGCTTTTCACTGAGACAGCAGTGAATGTTCCTTGGACTCTCACGTGGAAGAGTGTGGGGACTCTCACATGGAAGAGTGTGGGTTATCTGAACATTAAAACAATTAATATGTCTTTTATTTCCTGTTGTAGCATCCGCACCATCCTAACATTCTGAGACCATACAAATGCCTTCACTTGCAGCAGTCTTTTGGCTCCTGCACCTTCTGGAACGAGCAACCAAACAACATCACTAATTCTGTTCTTCAGAGATGCAATCAATAAATCATGCATGAGAGCTATCCAAAAGAAACAAAAATTCATATGAAATCCTTTTTCAAGCCAATGTTTAAAATTCAGGTGAGAGCTAGGTGAATCATCAGCTGCATAGTTGAGCCCAATAAACTTTCCTTCTTAATCATTCTACTCATGTTGAATTATGGCATCTTTCCCACTGAGGAAAGGTAGGTATTTCTTTGACTTCTTGAATTTCTTGTACCTGTGCCGCCCTTAATCACTGAAACCTAGGGGAGGAGGTCTTCATTATATTTTATATAATATATTATTCCTCCCAACATACACATGATGAGCTACTGCACTTGAACTCTTCCTATTTCTATTTCCACTGTCTGTATTTTCCTTTTGATGAAATGTACCAAAGCCCTAAGGGAAACACTATCATCTGGGAAAGGATACACTTAGATTTACAAGTAGAGAAGGTCTAGAACTTCTATATGCAGGGAATTTTTTTTTTTAAGGGTCTTTTTTTTTTAAAGATTTTATTTATTTATTTGAGAGAGAGAGAATGAGAGATAGAAAGCACGAGAGGGAAGAGGGTCAGAGGGAGAAGCAGACTCCCCGCTGAGCCGGGAGCCCGATGTGGGACTCGATCCCGGGACTCCAGGATCATGACCTGAGCTGAAGGCAGTCGCTTAACCAACTGAGCCACCCAGGCGCCCCCCTTTTTTTTTTAATTGAAGTGTAGCTGACATACAATCTTACATTAGTTTCAGATGTACGACACAGTGATTCAACATTTATGTACATTATGAAGTAATCACCACGATAAATCTAGCCACCATCTGGCACCATACAAAGTTGTTACCATATTATTAACTATATTCTAATTACAAGGAATTTTCTAGGGAAATGTCACATATTTTTATATGACAGAGGGAAGTATGCTTATTGCTTTTTATACTGTTCACAGTGAATATACAATTATTCTTTAAAACAAAAGCAGTTTCATGCTACATGTGATAAATATGAGGTTCAGATATTAAATGTGAAAACTGAACTATTCCTGGAACCACATTCAAAAATCTGTAGTTTTTTGGTGCTTTATTGGCTAAACACTTCGTTAATTATTATAATTAACTGAAAATTAGTCATAAGGTAATTAAAAAGTAGTATGGTGGCTTGAAGTGTAGGGATTGGAATGAAGCAGCTGTGGACACAACATGTAAAATGGGTAACTAAGAAATGCACAAATGTCCAAAGCGATATATTTTCTAAGTAAACATATATGCATATACAGATGTGCATTTTCAATCTAGAACTTTTCTATTAACTACCATGTCTTAAATATATAATCCTGTAATTAATGTAATTTTTTGAATATGCAAGAGCCTGTGTACTCATTTGTTCATGCTTTCCCACTCTCAAGGAAAGATTTGCATTTTAAGCTTTATCTCCAAATGTACATAAAAAGTGTATTCTTTTAAGGGGTTTTGTCTCTCTCCAAAAGTGTTATTTGCTTCTGTGTCTACAACTTGTTTGATATTGTGGAAAGGACTTTGGACTGAGAGCAAGTGATCTATCACCTACTTAATGGTGACCTTCAGTAAGTTACTCAACCTCTCTGAACCCATTCCATCCTTTTTGTTTTAAAGAATTACTCTAAACACAAGGCCCACAAAGCCTTTGTGGGGGGGGGGCTGTCATTTTAAAGTATGAGAGATTAATTTAGTTTTTTTGACAGACTTTTGATTGTAGAGGATGTATGGTATCAGCACTGACAGATCACACAGATACAAAGAACTCTCGCTTATGACAACATTAAAGGTTTATCCCAATTCTGCAGAACAGCATTTTACAAGATACTGTTGGGGCCCTAGAGCAGCATGCTTCAGATAGAGATTCTCCAGAGGTTGAAATGCCAAAAACCTAACACCTATGTATGGACTCACATACTTTAGTCCATTGTAACAGAGCTTTTCCTATTAAAACCAATGATGGAGTATTGCACATGCACCTCGCCCAACAGCACCACACTCACCAGGTGATTCTGGGCTCCCTGTAGGCCAGGGCAGAGCAGATAACACCTGTCGACACCCCTATCTGACAGACGGTTCACAGTCTCAGACCAACCCTTCAGTCACAGTGATAGTGGAAGGAGAAAAGGGGGATCACTTTTTCACCAGTGTAGAAATGGGGAGGGGAAAGTAGCTTGCAAACAAAATGTGAATCAGTGTGATAAAATGATGCCGGTGTCAGCTGGGCTTTCGGTGAACAACAAACCAGCAGCTCTTAACAATCAGCACCGTTCACCTGGACAGCCCTGATGTTCCGGTCCCGTCCAGCAGACAGCCAGACCATTGTTCTTCTTTCTGACTGTCCCCTAATGTCTGTGCATCGGCAATGCATTGGAAGATGATGTAAATCCAATATATTCCCATGAAATAAATTGCCAGCAAACTTTCTAGCTTTTTAACTATTGAAAAAGATTAAAAACTTTTGTTTAAGTCATGTACAAATTATGGACTGTGTTTCTTATTTTTAGAAATCATTCCTTAGCTTTAAAATTTTCAAAGAAAAAAACTGAGGTACTGGTAAAATCCCCATGTAAATGTGTTCTCTTCTCTCCATGCTGCCAGTAAGCCAAATCAAAAGCCATAAAAAAAAAAAAATGTGCTTAAGAATGTGTGTAGATGAGAAAGTGATTTATTTACAGATCAAAGTCTTTGCTTCATGAAGGTACCAAACCTTTTCATTCTATACCTGGAACTTATATTACACTGTATGTTAACTAACTAAAATTTAAATTAAAACTTGGGAAAAAAAGTCACCCTTTTTCTCTTTGTTATGGAATTCAGGGATTGTAAAAATAAAAATAAAGGTTTTGTTGTATTTTTGATGCTGGCATGAGGGTTTTTTGTCCACTTTTTTTCATATATCTGTGAATAAAAATATTCTGTCCATTGTTTACTATGAGACTAGTGTTATGTTTTGCAGTAAACAAAAGCATTTACATTACTTGATAAACTACTGTAAATTTTAAGAGGTTTCTTTTTTTTCTTTTTTAAAGCCACTTTATTCAGTTATGATTGACATATAGAAAGCTGTGCACATTTGATGTATAGAACTTGATGAGATTAAAGATAAGTATACACTCATGAAACCATCCTCATAGTTGAGGCCATAAACATACACATCGCCTCCAAAAGTTTCCTCCAACGCCTTCATTTTTGTTTTCTTTTGTGGTAAGAACACTTAACATAAGTAAGATCTACACTCTTAGCAAATTTTTAACTATAAAATATGGTCTTATAACAACAGACCTTATGTTGTACCATAGATCTCTAGAACTTATTTACCTCGCAGTACTGAAATTTGGTATATATTGATACTTGTCCCTCTCTGTCTCACCCCAGCCCCTAGTAGCCACTACTATACTCTCTAGTCCTAGGAGTTTGAATATTCTGAATTCCTCATAAAAATGAGATCATGTAGTATTTGTCTTTCTGTGTCTGACTTATTTTACATAGTACAGAGGTTTCTTTACCTCAATTAACTTAAAGTAATGGACCAATAAATCTTTAAAAAACAATTACTCTACCAGGCCAATACAGCTTCATAAAGCTTAGACGATATGATGCTAGTGATAGGGCTCTGTCAACTGTGGAGTACCATGTACATGCAGGGCATAGTTTAACTGTTTTGTCAAAGAGGCTGAAGGAGATATTTAGGGTCAAGGCAGCTTTCAGAATGGTCCTAAGAAAATGCCATGGAATACTATGGGTCCCATGTTACTCAGTGCACCAATGTTTTATGCTGGTGCTGCTGATGAGAGATCCAGAGAATGAAGGTATGGTTCCAAATGCACACATCACAAGAGTGGGCATAAAATCCTACTGGTTGCCCAGAGGCCTGTATTTACCTCCAACCCTACTTTCTCCCAGGCTATGAGTAGCAAGTGGAGAGTAGGACATAGGTGGGCATGTCACTCTACTCACAGAGTGGCACAGTCCTCCATGGGGTGTCTGTGGGGAAGCTGGGGGTAGGTACCTTCTGCACCCAGCACTGGATCGGCACTGGTGGGAAAGGAGGCAGCTTGAAATCAAAGTATAAAAATGTATCCTGATAAGCCTATAATGGCGCACATGGTCATGGTGTCCTGCTGGTCTCCAGCAATGAAAATTTTGACTCTAGAACCCAAAATTTCCATATTGCTGGTCTCCTTTAAAAAAATATAACTGTGAATGTACATAACTTGCACTGAATTTTAGCCAGCCCCAAAAAGCTGAGTCAAATTGAAGAAAATTTTCAGTTTGCAGAGAAATAATTACATGTTGATGGTGTAACTAATAGCTCTGATACAACGACACAGCTCCTCCTGAAATAGTAAATAAGCGAAAAGGAGAAATAGGATTGATCTCTTAACCCTTTGCCATTTTACAAATCACATAAACTCGTTTAGGATTAGAAAGAAAGGTCATTTTATTTTTTTTTTAAATATTTTATTTATTTGAGATAGAGAGAGAGAGTGAGTATGAGTGGGGAGAGTGGAAGAGGAAGAGGGAGAAGCAGACTCCTTACTGAGCAGGAAGCCCAAGCTCGATCCCAGAACCCTGGGATTATGACCTGAGCCAAAGGCAGGTGCTTAAGCAACTGAGCCACTCAGGTGCCCCAAGAAAGGTCATTTTAACAGAACCATTAGAAAATCACTCAGAAGTTGAAGCAGAGTGAGAGCAAATCTGTATTTGAAAATTACATTTCTTAGACATTTGACTATTTAATTGTTAGTAAATGATTGTTGCACAAGTAACCTCTACTAAGTGTTCCCCGAAAATGTTAAAGTAACAATTTTATTGAAATACATTAAGTTCTATTTGTCAAATACCTAATGATATTCAGGAAATGGTTCACCGAATAAAAAGAGAAACCAAAATCAGTGAG